TGTAGATTTTTTTTTTTTTAATTTGAAAGTCAGAGTTAGAGAGGTCTTCCATCTGCTGGTTCACTCCCCAGATGGCCACAATGGCCGGAGCTGCGCCGAGCCAAAGCCAGGAGCCAGGAGCTTCCTCCGGGTCTCCCATGTGGGTGCAAGAGCCCAAGCACTTAGGCCATCTTTTGCTTTCCCAGGCCATAGCAGAGAGCTGGATTGGAAGAGGAGCAGCCAAGGCTAGAACTGGTGCCCATATGGGATGCCAGCACTTCAGGCCAGGGTGTTAATCTACTGCACCACAGCATTGGCCCCAACACTGTAGATTTTTAAAATCCATCTTGATTGCAGAGAAATTAACATGTAAAAAATACATAGATGGAATACTCAATGAAAACTTGGCTTACTTAGAGCTTTGTTTACTAGTATTAGAGTCTCTAGAAAATGGATTTCCTTTACAATAGGTATTGAGATACTACAGAGAAGTCTACTTCTAGGTGCGGCTAAGTAATCATGATTGACAGTACCTATGGTGCAGAAGGAACTGTGATGGGGCATTGGAAAGGACGTCATTTTAATGCTGTATTCCAGTGTCTCACCGGCATTGAACTTGTCTCAAAGAGAAAGGCTTTCCTTTTGCTGACTTGTCATCAATCTTCTCTAATGGAAAAGAAACCCTTTGGAGAGAAGGCCTCTAGGAAGTCTCTTTTATAGCATGAAGTTCTTTCAGGTTCATTCTTTGATTCTCAGTAGATCTCCAGCAGATGTTTCTATGCCTCTGAAGTACAGTTGTTGCAGTTTTTACTTGATTAAGCTGTCACTCAAAATTGTTGTTTGTATCATCGATCCAACATCAAAAAGCCGCTATGCCATGGATCTGATGTCAAAAATTTCAGAGTGACAGCAGGAGCAGATAGAGTATTGCATCTTGCATTCCCATTTCTAAGCCACTCTGAGGTGTGCACCTCTGGAAATGAATCAGGACTAGCTGTGGGGAACTCATATCCGCCGATTAATCCCAGGACATGCACAGAGAAAATAGTAATTGTTTGAGTTGAGAGATAGTTTGAGCTGGCATGCTTTTCAACTTTGCATTTGAAAAATAGCAGGAAATCAAAGTTTGTAACTTATAAGTTTAGATTCAGACAAAGATTGCAAAGACAAGAGTTCCTATATACTCCTCATTCCATTTCCCCTGTTAATATATTGCACGGCCTTGACACATTTTTTTGAAATTAAGAAACCATACATTGAAGCCCTTTTAATAGTTAATATACCCTGTTGAAGACTCAGACGTTATATGAGTAAGACCATATATATTTCTCACTTTGTTTATGCTATGCCCATCCCATCCATGATATCCTGCCTAGCATTTAGATAAAGAACTTGCTTAATCTTTGCAGGAGCAAGCTACGATTGAGGTCTTCCCTGAACTCCTATCCCATTTTCTACATGCTATATAAATTCGTACTCCTTCATATTTTTGAATCACAAAAGCAAGCTTTCATCCATAAACATAATCTTATAGTTTGGAATATAAAAGTCTTGGATTTATATCCCGATTCTTTTTACCTTCTATAGCTCTGCAATCTTGAACAAGTAGAAGTAATACTATCACAATCTACCTCACAGAGAGATGTGAATGATACATCCTTTTACAGAGGGGCAGGCATTTAGCCTAATAGTTGAGACACCCATGTCCCATATTGGAGTACGTGGGTGTGTTATCTAACTACCACTTCAGACTCCAGCTTCCTTCTAAGGCAGACCCTGGAAGGCAGTGGTGCTGGCTCAAGTACCGGGGTCCTGGCACCTATGTGAGAAGCATGTACTGAGTCCTGGTCTCCCGACTCTGGCCTCGCTCCTCCCCGGCCACTGCAGGAATTTAGAGTGATTTAGGAAATGGGACTGCTCACTTGTTCTATCCAACATATACTCTGTCAATTTTTACATTGTATTTATAATGCTTAGGATTTGGGACACGGTAGAGGACTGATTAAATGTTACAACTACTAATATTGCCATACAGAACAAGGATCAACGAGCTATGCTCCAAAGGCCAAAACTCTGACTTATTGTTCTGTGACAGTCCCTGTGGTAAAAGTGGTTTTAGCGCCTTTAAACTGATGAACAAATAGACTATATTGGAATGCTTGAAAATCATGTGAGATTCAATGAACATAATTTTACTTCAGTGGAGGTTTTGAACTTAAGTTAGAGTTAAGCAGTTACAACAGACACTGCATAACCTGAAAAGCTTGAAGTATTTACTATCTGGAAACTTCTCATAACAAGCTTGCTGCTCCATGCTCTAGAAACTTTATTTTGATGTCTTTGGTGTTGAACTCTATAGAAGAGTGATGCCATAGTGGTTTATTTTCCAGCTATATAGTATCTGTTGCAGTCCCTTAGGGCTCCTACCAATGAAACGCCAAAAAGTGGGTACCTTATAAACAACAGAAATTTCTTTCTTTGAGTTGGGGAAACTGTAAAGTCCAAGATCATAGCACTTATACATTCACATCTGCTGAGGGTTGACTTTGATTCTGTGTGTAGTGAAGCCCCACTTTCCATTTAGTAGTGCTACATTTGTAATGTGTTCTCGCATGGTGAAAGCAGCCAGGCAGCAGGGGAGTGACAAGGACACTAATCTTAATCCTGAAGGCTCTGCCCTCGTGACATGATCATTACAGCAGCTTACTTCCTAAGGGAATCACACTGGGGATTAGGGTTCAATGTATTGTCCACTGGGGGAACAGAAATATTCAGACTATGACACTACTTACACCAATCTTTGGTTCTCCAAAGCATAACTGTCACAGCACCACTCTGAACCAACGCTTCCCCATCTTTAAAATGGAAGAAACCATACCTATCTCAGTTTTAGTAAGGATCGACTGTGAATGAACAAGAAGGGATTCATGCATGTTTGAATCATAAGATAGTCAACAACTGTGTGCTTCACTCTAACCTTGCCCATCTGGCTCTCTGGATCACGGAAACCCCTCAGCAGAAAGCTCAAGTCTGCATCACTCCTTTGTCCTACTGAATTCCACATTGCAGCAAATGAGAAATGATCAGTTTCCAGTATGTGTGTCAATGTCTACAGACACTAAAATGCTGAAGAAATAGATTCTACTATAATATCAGGCTCACAGCAATTTCTCAATTACAACTCATTGATTAATTCATTCTCATTTCCAAGTGGCTCATGGGGGACTAATTGGTAGTGAATAACTATTTCTATTACCTGGAGTTAATATGGTTCCTATTTTTATCTTGATCACACACCTGAGATGTTTGTAGCCATTGAATTCTGGGATTTTCAAAATTAGCATTGCTTTTGTTGTTTGGAAATACTTAAGCATAATACTAGACAGAGTGTTATTTGCAGAAGATAAACTAACTAGCCGAAACAGAGGTGATGGAGTATTACACTGCAGTGGGAAAATGGGTATTACTGATATGTTATATATGGCATACTATATAGTCCCTCTGTTTCACGCTGAGACAAAGAAATAGACTTGGGAAACCTTTCTGTCATTTGGGGATGGACATGAAGTATGAGTTCAAGTTGACTAGGATGTGTGAGGGAAGATTCAGAATGGAAAGAGCGTTATGTCCACAGACCCTGTGGTCAAAGCTGCAAGGCTGAAGGACCTGAAGGCCCTTGGAGGAAGTGTTGATACTGGATGGGACTATAGAAGGACTTGACCAAGCGCTAAATTGGATCACAACAGTGATAAACGTCAGGACGGTATCGCCACCACAGGGGCAGTTCGTGCTGCCAACTGAAAGGATTCAGTTATTTAATATTTGAGTGGTTACTGTGAAGACTCTAGGAGTTGAGGATACAGCAATGCAAAAAACAGGCGAAAATCCTTGTGCTCAAAGGACTTCAATTCTACTGGATTCGTACATAAGGCTTAGACCATGATATAGAGCAATATCAATGTAAAATATTTCTATCCTGCATCGGAACCCTTTAGATAGTTTTTATCTAATCCCTCCATGATATTATAACAGACATACTTTATATCTGTTAATAGAAACATATACATGTATAATAACACAAATAAGACCTTTGATACTACAGGAACCATTTTTTAACCCTACTGAGGACACCATCCCTTGTATTGTGAATGCATGATAAATGTTGAAGGATTTATTCCCAATATAAATCTCTTCATTACTTGACTGACTCTTACCTATGAGGGAGCTAGGTAAATACTAATTTTGCACATCTGAGGCTGTCCTAATTTACAATGACCAATAAAGTTTGTGTGGACTCCTTGCCACATCCCAATTGGTTTTCCTGACTCATTTCCCTAGGTTGTGTATAACAATTAGCCTCAATGTATTCTTGACTCTGCTCAACATTGTTATTTCCTTATTTGAAAACTCTTCACTATTAGAAACTCTTTTGTTTGTTAGGATAATGCTATAAAGTTCAGTGATTACCTAAGAAATTTCATGTCGCAAGTCTACCCTATGTCTTAAAATGTTCATATATTTTTGCAAGCTGATTAAAGAATTAAAATATTAAAAACAATAACATGGATACCACCCCTGGGAGTGGTTTAGGTGATAAAGGAAAGTTGAGGAATGTGAGTAGTTCATTTGTATGCAAATACACGAGTCATTGTGCATATTTCAGTGAGGAATTAATCAATGACTTCATTAAATGCAAGCTAATTGGGTAACACCAAAAAAAGGGTGAATTCTAAATTGTTTTGCAAACTCTATATAGATGTGTTGAGCAAATCATATTTTAGACTGCCAGTTTTTAGTGCTCCAAAATGCATTGCAAAGTGCTGGCCATATATCATGGATTTTGTTTTCTCTGTGTAGAATTAAATTCCAGATTTGCTTTGATCTCACCCTTGTATTTACATCTTGTTCCTTTGTTTAAACTGTCGTCTTTTATTTACAGTATGCAGAGAGGGAAGCAGGTTTAAGTCCAATTACCATAATTTCTGCTTGACTTATGTGCACTTAAGAGGTTTAAATCTTACTTTGGTGACAGGAGATTTTTCCTTCAGGATTCCTCAATAAATCCTTCCAAACCTGATGAAAAATTTGATTCACAATCAGTCCCTTCAGCGCACAAAATTCTTAGGTTCCAGGGTATCGCAAAGTTTGAGGGGCGAGCCTTGCATCTGGAAAACTAAACAACAATAGAGATACCTCTTGGCTGTACCAAGTTTGTGGCATATAAAACTGCTGTCAACACTTCTCTCTGAAAACACCATAAATTCTCAACTGTTGAACTGAATGTAAACTCTTTTACTTGAAATTATTGAAGGTTCTTTGTAAAGTGGTTCCCAACTTGTACTAACTTCTGTCCTTTCGCCTTCAAAGCAACGGTTTGGCATCTGTGGGTTCTTCTGCCCCATCAAGTCCTTGCTTGTGTGCTCTACTTGGTTTACCATTCTGTGTCTCCCTACTCCACATTCAAAGCTCAGCTCTAATTTAAATATCCCTTGGCCACTTCACACGTCCATCTAACTTTTCTGTAAACTGTCATGAAAATGTACTGGTATTCACTTATTTTGACCAATATCCTCACAAACAATGCCTTTTTAACTTCTTACTGGAATGGCCGAAGTGGTTCTATAGGTGCAAGCAGTTTTGAAATCGGACATGACCCCCTAAAATTTACACCAAAATGTGGCCCCTTAAGGTTCCCCAGAAATGCTGTCTGGGATGCCACATATACTACCAGAATTTGGGGTGCTATACGATTTCACCATGGGCTGATTACTAAATCCCCAATATTAATAAGCCCGAGAGGGTTCTTGCCTAACATTTAGAGAGGAATTCTAAATACCGGCATAGATAAACGAGGCATCATGGTACATTTTTAGCTTTTATTTAGTGAGAAATGTATCTAGGAAAGTGAGGGCTTTAGTTCAGGTTGGAGAGGAGAAAGTCTGGAAACCAGGGTAGCGTCTGTACCACTCAGAGCAGGCCAAAGCCATTTGCAGCAAGCACCTTGAGCTGCTATCCACCGCTTATCACCGGCAGCAAGGCAGAGACTGAGAGTAAGGTAAATATGGGTTCATACCAAGAACCAGGAACGTGGATGAGCATCTAGGCCAGGAAGCCTAGGGCGTGTGGTCCTCACGCCCTGGAGGCGCAGGACTATAACAAGCCCTGCTCCTGGCAAGAGGCCAGGCAAAAGAGAAGAGAAGGCCCAGGACACACCTTGTCCCTGGCTTTTAACTCACTTTCAAAGGGGAGTGGTTACTTAATCTGATTGGCTGGTTGGCACCCAGGTGTGGCCAGGTAGGCGGATGAGGTCACACAGGGGCGTGGCGAAGACATGGTCTTCCAGCTCATAAACCTAATCTATTTTAACCTGTATGCCTGCCTACTTCAGTTTCACTACATAAACTTGAATCCAGAACATCCCCTGTGGTAATTTTAAACATATTCTTTAACAACCGTCTATTCAAAAGATGAACACCATCTCCATCCCTGTGCCTGTGGGCTGAACTCCATTTTTCAAAGTAATGGATTGCCAGCGAATGTGGCAATATGTGACTTCTGAGGTTGATTATTAACAGATTCTATGACATCTAGTAAGGACACTCAACCCATGGATATCCCCAAGTGTAGAGAAATACAAGATCTCTAGACAATAGCCATGTGATGAGCTATCTTCAAACAGATCTTCCAGCCCAATTGAATCTTCAAATGCTAACACTTCTGCTAAGATTGACTGAAACCCAGCTAAGCTGTACTCAGACTCCTAACCCCCTCAAAAGAGAGAAACGATGAATATTTGTTAAAAAGGTTTAACTTATTATTTGAAAGGAAGAGTTAGGAGAAACACATGCTGCTTGTTACCCAGCTAAGTTTTACCCAAATTTCTAACCCCCCCCCAAAAAAAAAGTGAAACAATATTTGTGGAAAAAGTTTTCTTTTAAATTTGAAAGGAAGTGTTAAAGAGGAGAAACAGATCTTCCATCAGCTGGTTCACTCCCCAAATAGCCACAATGCTATGGCTGGGCCAGGCCAAGGTCAGGAGCAGGAAATCCCCTCTGGGTTTCCCACATGGGAGGCAGAGGGCCAAGGATGTTAATCATCTGATGCTGCTTTTCCAGACGCATTAGTAGCAGCTGGATTGGAAGTGGAGTGGCTAGGGCAATAACCAGCATCCATATGGGAGGCTGGCATCACAGACAACAGCTTAACTCGCTGTGCTACAATATTGGCCCATTTGTTTTACACTGCTAAAATGGGGAATATTTGTTTTGCAGTAATGCATAACAATACAGCATCCTTTTCTCTTCCACTTTGCTACAACCTTCCCAGTACCAAAGCTTGCTCGCGTTTTCCCAAAGTAAATTCAAAACCCGTGAGTTTCTTTTCCCCCCTTTGACTGCCATCAACTCTGAATTTGGCATGGTCCTTCCAACTTGGTGCCCACTTCCCGCTCACCTCACTGAGCCCCCTCCCAAGGAAATGCCATACATTGCATCAGAGGGATGTTGGCTGAACCTGCAGTTAGCTCTGCAGGTCTGAAGAGCATTCCGAAGCAGGTAGAATTCTAAGATGGCCATAACGATTCCAGGCCACTGGTCTAACCCTTGTCCCCTGAAGGTTGGTAGGACAGGGAAAATGAAGGTTTGCACGCCTGAGATTAGCTGCACAGTGTGACAAAGTTTTTACAAATGTCAAACTACCAAATGAATGTTTTTCAGTTAGAGAACATTAATCTGGGTGGGCTTTGACCAAAGAAGTGAGTCATTAAAAAGGGCCTGGACCCCTCATAAATGAAGATGTGTGAAACAATGGGTCTGTCTCCAGCTTGAAGAAAGGACCAGCCGTGTGTTGGAAAAGGTCTCGTGATAGGGAGCGATGGCCAGCCTCGAGTTGGTAAGGGTTGCTATTCCTACAATTGGAAAAATCAAAACTGTGTCAACAACTAGGGAGTGAGACCATGACCTACTGCCTCACCTGAGATTTCTGCTCCAGTGACTTTCCAGGTATGACTTATTATTTGTCTATGCTTAGCCTGCATAGACACTGTCAGATCCCTTTTTCTTAGGTTGCTAGATTCATTAGACAGCAATAAAAACGAGCAGCTGTATAGGTATACCCACTCACAAAAATGACCTAAGAACACTGATAACCCACTGGAATAATTCCTCACTTTTGATACTGCAACTTCAGAGGTAAGACATGATTTAATGTTCCTAACAGTCTTGAAGTCAGGACAGTAATATTTGTCCTAGATAAGAAGTGACACAGCAGTGGTCTCCACCACAGAGTCCTGAAGTCAACAACAGATTCTTGTTCATTAGGAACCATCATCCAATATTCGTTTTGAGAATATCTACCCTTTCTGATAGGGCACACATTGTTGAAACAATGAAACAGGGGCCGATGTTGTGGCATAGTGGGTAAAGATGCCGCCTCCAACACTGGCATACCATATAGGGTCTAGTGTACCTCCCAGCTGTACCACTTCTGACCCAACTTCATGCTAAGGGCCTGAGAAAGCAGTGGAGGATGATCCACGTGCTTGGGTCCCTGCCTTCCGTGTGAGAGACCTGGATGAAGCTATGGGTTCCTATTGGGGTCATCTAGGGAATAATCCTGCAGATGGAAGATATCTGTTTCTCTCTGCTCTCACTCTGTGTCTCCCTACTACTCTGTAGCTCTGACTTGGAAATAAAAATAAGTTTACACACACAAAAAAAAAAACAGTGAAAATAATACAATGAAAGAGAATGGAAAATGAATTGGAGGCCTTTGAGTTTTTTCCCCCAGTATACTTACCCAAGTATATTGATGGAGACTCCCTTACCTTGTCTCCAAGCCAATGCATGATCTTGTCTTTTCCTATCTTTCTGTTTCATTCCACATTATGAAATTGGCAGTTGGTGACCTCTTAATCTGACAGTGAATGAAAATATAGCAAATGTCGAAGAAATACTTAAACCTTAGTTATACTGACAAATCTCACTATATAGAGAAGTGTATAAAGGACTGTTCTGGGCTAAGGAAAGAATTCAAGAATTATGACATGGCCTCCATTCTCAAGCTGTCAAGTACAGAGGATGAACATATTACCTCTTTCAGTATAAACTGATAAACAGGACCTGAGGAAATGAATTCTTTGACAAGAAACCATCTTTGTGCACAAATAGAAAAGACTGTGGTAGTTTGTCAACCTGTGTTTTTAACCCTTTACCTCTTATTCGCTTTCAAAGAGAAAGACAAGCAAAGATCTTCTATCCACTGTCTCTCTCATCAAATGCCCTCAGCAGCTGGCATTGGGACAGGCTGAAGCCAGAAGCCCGAGACTCACTCTGAGTCTCCTATTTGGGTGGTAGAAGTGAACAATATCAGCCATCATCTGCTACCTCCCAGGGTCTTTATTTGCAGGAAGCTGGAATCAAGAGTAGGTGCCAGGATTCAAACCCAGGTATTCTGGTATGGGACAAGAGTATCCTAAGGAGTGTCTTAATTTGTTAGCCAAAGTGACCCACCCCCAAACTATGAGTTTTAACAAATGTAAACAGTCATGTGACCATTACCATAATCAAGGTAAAAAACAGTTTCATTTCTTTCCCATATAACACTCCATTTTTTAATCTCTCAAATGTTTTGCACTAATTTTTTTCATTGCACTCTTCTTCATACTAGATTAAGTGCACATGTATCTTAATCTTCATTAATTTTATTACTAAAGAATCTTTGTTGCCATTCTTAAACAAGGAGATGGTTCATTGAGTTGGTAGTGGCAATCACACATGTACCTTTTAACTGTTAGGATCCTTTAAAACAATTAGGCTCAGTTTCCAGCAGAAAGGAGGCCAGAGTTTCTCAACTGTAACTGGAGATCCATTGCATTGGTACCGAGAGCATTTGTGCTTCTCAAAATGCTGGTGAACCTCACTCTCAGAGGAGAGTAGTTTTACTAGCAAAACACAAGCTTTTCAGTTAAAGAATAACAAATGGGAGTACATCAAGATAAGCTTCTGCACTGCAAAGGAAATGCTCAACATAGTGAAGAATCAACCAACAGAATGGGAGAAAATATTCATACACTATTAATCTGATAAAGGATTAATAGCCAGAATCTATAAAGATCTCAAACTCAACACAACAAACAATCCAGTTAAATGAGTAAAAGGGGCTGGTACGGTGGCTTGGCAAGCTAGGCCTTCTGCTGCCGCATCAGCAGCCCATGTAGATGTCAGTTTGTGTCCCAGCTGCACTTATGTTGATCCAGCTCTCTGCTTATGGCTTGGGAAAGCAGTAGAGGATGGCCTAAGTGCTTGGGCCCCTGCACCTGTGTGGGAGACCCAGCAGAAGCTCCTGGCTTCAGATCAGCCTGGCTCTGGCCACTGCAGCCATTTGGGGGAGTGAATCAGTGAATAGAAGACCTCCATCTCCGTCTCTCCTTCTCTGTAACTCTGCCTCTCAAATAAAAATCTTACAAAGAGTAAAGGACACAAACAGGCATTTTTCAAAGGATGCAGGTCAAACGGCCAATAGACACATGAAAAAATACTCAGTATCTCTATCGTGTTTTTTTTATCTGCATTTCCTTGATAAAGATTCATCTTACCTTAGTTAGAATGGCTATCATCCAAAAATCAAAAACTAACGAGTGCTGGCTAGGATGTGGGGCAAAGGTATCCTAATCCACAATTGGTGGGACTGTAAATTAGTACAACTATTATGGAAGACAGAATGGAGAGTCCTCAGAAATCAGAATAGATCTGCCATATAACCCAGCCATCTCACTCCTGGAAATTTACCCAAATGAAATGAAATTGGCATATGAAAGAGTTCTTTGTAACCCCATGTTTATTGTAGCTCAATTCTACAATAGCTAAGACATAGAATCCACCTAGATGTTCACCAACTGATGACTAAAGAAATTGCGGTAAACACACACTATGGAATACTGGTCAGCCATACTAACTAAGAAATAGATAAATAGGATGTGATTTATCCATATAGTGGAATATTACTCAGTCATAAAAGGGAATGCAGTAATGATATAAGCTCCAAAATAGATCAATCTTATATTCATCTGGCAGAGCCAACAGAGAAAGAAGGAGAGACAGGTCCTCCATTGGCTGTTTGACTCTTGAAATGGCCACAGTGAGGCTGGGGCAAGTTGGGGCTGGGCCAGACCAAAGCTGGGAGCCTGGAACTCTATATCCAGGCTTGCCATATGTTTCGTAGTGGGCCAAATACTTGGGCCATCTTCTGCTTTCACAGGTACATAGCAGACAGCTGGATCAGAAGTGAAGCAGCAGGGACTCAAACTTGCACTCTGGTATGGGATGCCAGTGCCATAGGCTACAACTTAATCCACTAAACCAAAATGATTCCCCCACAAATCTCAAAAGCATATTACAGGAAAGAAGCTGGATATCAGTCATTACCCCATTTATATGACATATCCCCAATATACCAGTCTATAAACTCAGCAAGTAGATTTGCCATTTCCCAGAGTGGTGGTGGTGACTGGGGGAGTTGAAAGAATGACAAGTGACAGGTAATGGGTATAGGAGTCTTCTGAGAGGTAATGAAAATGTTCTAAAATGATGGTGGTGATGGGCACACGATTTCATGAAGATACTAAAAGCCATTAATTTTTATAGCATAAGGTCAGTCATATGGTATATAAATCACAGTTCAATAAAACTATTAAAAACACAGTACTGTGTTGACTTATATATAGACAAGTATAGATACAAGTTGAAAATGCATTTCCTGGATTTAAATAAACAAAGAAAAGGAGAGATCCCAGCCACATTTGATTCCTTAAAGAGCGTTCTGAAAAGCCCCACTCAGGATTTCTGACTTAGAACTCATTGCCCACAAGGAAGTCGCACAGAAACTCGTAGCTGCAAGGGAGCCTGGGGAAATGAGTTGATCAGTGGAGCATCCATCATTACTTCCTACTGAAGGAAGGAAAGAAGAGAGATTTCAAATGCAAATAACAGATGCCACCACAATCCTCAATCTAAATTAGGGATTTGGGTTAATGTACATGTGTGTGCATAATATTTTGTTTAATAATCAAGTCTGGTTAATTCTAATAGTGCACCACTGACATTAATAAGGGAATTGCCAGTGAAGTATATGTGGACTCTACTATCTTGGCAATTTTTCTGCAACTCCAGAACTATTCTCAGATTAAGCCAGAAAAACACAGATGTCATTTTTATTGCCTTCATTTTACTACTGTAAAAAACAGAATGCAAGATTGAGAGATTGATGAATGTCAAACAACAATCAAGAGCAGAATTGTGATTGGATTTAATTACATATTACATGGGTGATAGATGTATTAGTTTTGTAAAAAGAATCCTGCTTGAGAATCAAGGCAAGTTCTAATGGAATTGCTAGGGTCCTTAGTGGTGAGCTGATTTCTGTTGGATGTTGTCTCAAGTGTGTTAGGTAGCAAGAGGCATTTCTTAAGTCTTAAAAGTTGGAAAAGCCCAGCTATGGTAATTTACAAAAGGAGTAAACACTTAGAGCAAATCTCAGAGCTTTTAAAGCAGGCCACTGTCTATTAGATGTTTACTAAGACCATAAATTCCATGAGGACTCTGAAATTTGTACTGTGGTTTATACCCCTGATAATGCCTGTAGCACTTATTACTTATTGGAGGCAGTTAAATGAGGCCATTGGTCTAATAGATCCATTCTGAAGAGTGTAATCAGAAAATCAAAGATGCAAGACATGATGGGAGGAAACCCAGATGAAAATCTGAAGAGTTCATGTTCTTTCTGAGCTACTTCACGCTTCCAATTCCTTGGACTTCTCTCTTTCTTAAATATCTAGTCTGTTTACTGCCACATAAAATTTTCTTTGCAAAAATTGTGCCTTTCTATTCTCTTTTCCTGTGGTATGCCAAGAAATAAATTTTATTCCATGCCTACCTTTATGCAGGGTTCCTCTGGGGACACTGCCTGCCTGAAGCGGTTGCTGTATGGAGGTCTCCTTGGCCTTTGTTTTACAGCAAAGTCATTTCGCTGTGAAATCCATCGTATATCATTATCTGACTGCCCGTTCTGTGCCAGGCTTCATGTCAGGCACTAGAGATAGAATAAACACAGCTTCCCCCGCTCCCCAACACAATGCAGCTGCTTGTAGGGCAAAGAGACGATTCACAAATGTTAGACCATGAATGATTTCAGCATCACTGTAGGAAATGGAAGCTTTTGATATACTAGGGTGGATGTTGCACATTTAGTTAATATCTAATGTTAAAATATCCCTGTTCTATTTTTTGAGATGAAATAGAGACAAGAGCCCAAGATGAAGAATGCTTAAAAAATTAAATTTACTAATAAAAATAAATCTAAGACCTTAGGCCTAAAAACTCTGTTTCCAGGTCAAGAAAATATTCTGCTAAATACAAAAAGTTTTCTGTGGCAGATTAAAAAATGCTGGTGAATTATTTGAAAGGAAGTACTTAAATTATGAGAGAGGATTAGGGTCTTCTCTTCTTCAAAAAATGACTGAGTCTACCAGGGTACAATTTGTAGGCACAAGGAACAACATTCTCATGTGATGGTGCCTACTTTCTTCATGAAAAATGAAGTCAAGCTGTTGATTGAAGGAGAGAAGTTGAAGGATGAGCTTAGATGCCTGAAGGGAGGGAAGTCAATTAGGAAAAGCAGAAGAAATAAAATAGAAGCCAACAAAATGACAAAGTTTGCAAAGGGCCAAAGAGTTGATGCCATCTAAACATCACAAATAGTTTTTTTTTTTTTTTTTTGAAACTCCTTTTTGTAGTCGGTGTCATGGTGCAGTAGGTTAAGCCAAGGCCCACAAGGCCAGCAATCCCATATGGCTGCTGGTTGTGACTGCTCACCTTCCAAAGCAGCTCCCTGCTAATGCACTTGTGAAAGCAGAGGAA